TGGTTTGATTCTAGGGCCGCCAGCATCCTAGCAACCAATAATGTGATTGCCCCGCCTCTCCAGCATTTTACAGGAGGACTAGACTTCATCCGTCAAGACTTGCCACGCCTCCCGGCTTGTGCTCTGCAGCTCTACCGCCTGAAATGTAAGGGGTACCCTACATGGATGTAAGGGGTTGCTCTGCTGGCCACTCGTGGGCATAAGGAGAACTCTGCAGGCCACTTCAGGGCATAAGGGGGGGACTCTGCTGGCCACTCCTGGGCATAAGGGGGGGACTCTGCTGGCCACTCCTGGGCATAAGGAGAACTCTGCAGGCCACTTCTGGGCATAATGGGGGACCCTGTTGGCCACTACTAGGCATAAGGGGGGACTCTGCTGGCCACAAGGGGGAACTCTACTGTGCACCCCTCGATGCAAAAAAGAACTTTGCTGGGCACTCCTGGATGCAAAGAGGGACTCTGCTGGGCACTCCTGGATTTAAGGGGGAACTCTGCTGGCCACTCCTGGATGTAAGGGGGGGACTTTGCTAAGCACTCCTGGACATAAAGGGAGGACTCTGCTGGGCACTTCTGGATGTTAAAGGAGGACTCTGCTGGGAACTTCTGAATGTAAAGGGAGGACTCTGCTGGCCACACCTGGATGTAAGGGGGGGGGGCAATCTACATGGATGTAAGTGGGGGACTCTGCTTGGTACACTTGGATATATGGGGGGACTTTGCTGGGCACTCCTGAAAGTAAGGAGGGGGGAAACTGCTGGTCACTCCTGGATGTAAGGGCAGGTTCACACCATTTCCCGGGCCAGATCTGGAATGCATTGCATTTTGCAGCGTTTTTACCGCAATTGTGCCGCTTTCCAGAGCTGCTTTTTTCCTTGCTTTTTTAAGCTTAAAATGGGCTTTCACATGCTTTCCAGTGTGTTTGTATGCATTTTTTATGTGTTTCCATACGTTCCAGTGCACTCCAGACCAGACAAAATGAGACATGCAGTATTTTCCTGGTCTGGAACGGACTGTGCTGGTGTGAACAGAGGCCAGAAAAAGCATAGGGATACTTCAGGATGCATTTTGGGTCAGGAAACAATCTGGTCTGGAGTTGATCTGGATGTGGTGTGAGTGGGCCCTAAGGGAGGACTCTGCTGGCCATTCCTGGATGTAAGGGGGGGACTTTGCTAAGCACTTCTGGATGTAAAGGGGGATTCTGCTGGCCACTCATGGATAAGGGAGGGGGGGGGTTAATTTATTTAAATTTGATTAACTGAAAAATTTGGAGATTCCCCCACTCTAAACTAAAAGAAAAGTTCTGGTTCCATATACTGTAGTGGCAACCACATGTGCCCCTTATCCCCAGGTGAAGAAGTCCTCCATAGGTGTAGCAGTCATAGGACAAGGTCAGCCTGGGACCTCCCTATACATCACTGCCTGCCCTCCCCCGCCCCCCCAACAACACCGACCCCTAGCTCACCCGGGATCTGACCAGGGACAACATCTCGCGCAGCGCACGGCTTGACGTCACTTCCCAGCGCAGCACCCGTGACCGGAAGTCAGGGATACAGTCTGTAGCGGGGCGGAAGTTGCGGTTGGCGCGGGATCCTTGGAGCTGAGCTGCATTGAGACTGAGTGAACCGGGGGGGAAGAACGTGTGTGAAGTGTCGGACGTAGACAAGAGGACGTCCGGTGGGTGGACAAAGCAGCCCGGGCGCAGCTTCCGGGCCCGGCATGGCGGACGGGGCGGACCTCATTGATATTTACGCCGAGGAGGAGTTCATCCAGGTGGGGGGCACTGTGCTGCATCCTGCGGGGTGCTTAGCTATGTTTACTCACACAGAGCCGGTGTACAGGAAATTCTCCCTTTATAGAAATGTGGCCCAGTACAGTATGAAATCCTTCCTTTCTACATGCTGGAGTCAATGTATGGCCTTGCTGTTTACTTTACTGTGAGTGTCCTGTCCCGGGATGGATACACCTAAAATGGAGGTCTGAAGATGCTGGTGAATTTGAGTCGAATGTTTGTGACATTGTGGGGACGATCAGTGCCATAAAAAGTGTGCTGTGCGGCTGGGATTACTGTTTGGCTGGATTCACATCTTTGCATTTTAGCTTGATGTGTTGTTCATTTAAATCAATGGAAATGCAAATCAATGCATGCATTAAAGTGTGTGTCATGATGCATGTTAATGTGCAGTAGCGCTTCTACGTTGTCACATGACTCCCTGGTGTAAATTACAAGCAGCCATGCGGACACACATAATGTACGTATGCACATTATGTACGTATGAACCCAGTTTTGCTGAGTGAAAACTTTCACTAAAACACCCCCTTTCCTGGCCAAATTAATGCAGCTACAGATCACAAAGGGGCGGGGAATGCCCCTGCCGCAACCAATTAGGCCAGGAGGGGGCTGTGCCAGTGACTGTTTTGCACACATTTGGGCTAACTGGGTTTGCGTCAAACCCCTGCGCTTCCGTAGTGCAGAAGAGTGATGTACATGTGGAGAGGAAGTGGCCGACAGACTGCAGGAAATCAGCAGTATTGAAATAGACCGGATAAAAATACGTCGGTTCTCCGACAGGCAGAGAGCCATGTGGAGTCTGCGCTGCCCGCGTAATATTTTCTACATAACGCTGCAGAGAGGCTGCCATGAATTGTTGGAGAGGCTGGTGACATAACTTTGACAGCTCATATGACCATTCAAATGTCAAGGTATAGTCCGACTTTTGGAAAGAAATAAAAGAATAAATGCACCAATAATCTTAAAATACAAAATGTGCATTTATTACGTTTTTACATTCAGGCGTTCAGAGAATTGCAAGTGTGCTCATTGGGGCAATGCACAGGCTCCTGCATTGTTTATATCCCAGCCCCAGGTCTGTATGCAGCTGCAGAGCTTCTGTCATGGGACTGAAGGAAGTCAACAATGGTCTACAAGTGTGAAAGAGTCACCTCCCTGCTGCTTTCTGTCTGTGAGCCCCTCTACTGCAGTGGCAGATGCAGCTTTGTCTTCCCATTCACATGGATCGGGTGAATGCATGATGTGGCTGTGTATGCGAAGCAGCACACAGTTGAACTTCATAGAATCCTATCTCACTCCTGACTGGATATAACCAAAAAACATCGGGTGGGTGCTGTAATGGCTGCGGGTGCCACCGCAAATCGAGTACAAATCCAAAAATAGTCACCAGCAGACCAAAGCATATTCTGTCAATTCTTCTTTATATACAAAATGTATGTCGCAATGTGTAGCGACGTTTCTGAGCCATTTTGGTCCCTTTTTCAAGCAGAGTGATGACACTGTCCTTCCTTCTGGAGGGGGGCGACTTTTGTTCTCCATGGTCCTTGTGTGTGTTTGTAAAGTAGCCACCGCTCCAAGCTCACTCCTGTGATGGACTACAACCTCACGTTTATTTTTAGAAGTAAGGACAGAAGTAAGGACAGTGTTGGCACCAATTCAGAGATGATTTGAGGATCTACTGCTGAGTGATACACAAATGAGATCAATTTTTCTTAATAGTTAAGGTACTTAATGTATTTTTAAGATTTAACTCCCTAGTGTCACTTTAAGCAATGCATGTAAAGCTACTTTGTCACAGAAAAAATAAAGAAAACATTTCTGTAAAAGAGGACATTATACTTGGCTTGGTGCCCATTTGTGGAATCTTTGCTCCATTGCTCCTCCCATACTCCGTGTGTCCTTGGATTCCTGTCCCCCTCCATCTTTTGTGGGGGGGGGGGTTCTTCTCCCTACTTCTTTCCAGGGCACAGTAATGTCCTTGCATCAGGGAGGACTAGAAATGTGTCCTTTAACAGTAGGCACTAGCTTATTTTCAATTGTGAATAGTTTAATAATGTTGTGGAAAATGACAGATCTAAGTGACCTGTATTATCTCTCCATAGGAACCTGAGTTTTCTGCAGAGCAAGTTGACCTATATGACGATGTCTTGGCGGTGGCCTCTCTTGGATCATCTCACTTAGATGGGAAGAACAATGTTTCAGAGCAAACCTCCCCTATACAGGCTTCTTTGGCCAAATCAAACAACAAGTCACCCGCCATTTTGTACACATACAACAATGTGCGCAAGAAGGCATCTGTATATATTGGAAACTTTTCATGGGTGAGTGAGAGGTTTTCTCTAAGCCTTTTTTTTTAAACTGTTGAAGCTTTACTGAGGACTAGATTTGTGTCCAATATACAGTAGTTTGGGGGTGGAGCATGAAGATATAGGCCTACTGGATGAAGATGGCCAGTTTGTTGGTTTTTTTTTAGTTGGGAAGCTCAAAAATAGCTTACAAAGCAAATAGCTATCTGTAGAGGTTTCAAGAGACCCTGATACCAACAAGTAACAGCTGGAAAAGTCAAGTATTTTAAATGTTAACTTGCAGAATTTTTCATTTTTATGTATTTTGTTTTCCACTTGCAATGTGCCTTTTGAAAAATCGAGTAGTACGTTTCTTAGCACAGCATCCTCTGTTCCACTCGTCAAAGCCCCCCCCCCACACACACACACTTCTTAGAGTATCTAATTGCTCTTTGTGCTGGCTAGGGATGCACCGATATATCGGCCATCGAAACATATCGTCCAAAAGTGCAATTTTTCTGCCGATAGTGTCCCAGTGGGGAGGAAAGAAACTGTCACAGGCGGCCTTGTGCTGCGGGAGGAGAGCGCTATGAGCGATCGGCGTCTCTCCTCCCCACGCTGCTCAGCCTCCTCCTGTCACAGATCAAAGGAGAGCAGTGTGTGGGTGAAGACAGCCAGCGCTGTCACAGGAGGCAGGCGGTGCGGGGGAGGAGTCAGCTGTCAGATCGAGCTCTCCTCCCCACACCGCTCGCTCAGCCTCCTGTGACAGCGTGTCGTGAAGGAGAGCGAGTACAAACACTCAGTGATCGCTGAGTGTTTGTAAATAATTGAGGACAGAGTATGGTTACTATATCTTCAATTATGAATGAATGGGAAGTGATCTACATCCTGTTCATTCATAATTGTGGTTATAGTAAACACACTATGTTCTCAGTTTATGAATGGACAGGAACACTCCGTATATAGGATTCCTGCTCATTTATAACAGGGGATACAGAAAAAAAGATTGAGGACTTTGTGTTCTTAATCTCTTTTTCTATTTTAAAAGGGAAATATCGGTCTGTTTAGACCCCTAATATTTTCCTGAAGCCCCTAAAACTAAAGTAAAAAATACAAATATTTAATAATATTAAAAAATGTAAATGTTTATAAAAAAAAACAAAATATTTAAAAAATGTTAAGTTTGAAAAAAAAAAAATTTCGGTTTTGGCCCGACATTTTTTATTTCGGTTTTAAAATTTTAATTCTTGATGCACCTCAAACACCTGGTCCTGGCCAAACACCACCCCTCCAATCACCTCACTGCATGACCTCTTATGTAACTTACGGGGTAATACTGCAGAGTGTCACTTGAGTTACAGTTTTGAATCTACTTGGACTGCTGACGTAACATCCAAAATGGCAGCGCCCAGCAGCAATTTCAGGGCTTTGGATGCCCACACTAGTGAGGCTTATACATTAAATAACATACATAACATTTGTTAAATGCACATATAATCTTATGGGAAGATTTTCGCTGAAGTGATTGGTCTGGTGATAGGACCTTTTTAAACCTGCACTGGAAAACTTGATTATATCCGCTTGCTTATTTCTGACACTATGATAAATCAAGCCTATGTTTATTGATACACTAGTTTTTTCTTTAAAACAAAGATTTCTCTTTGTTGTGTTGCATATATCCAAATGCTTGATCTTCACTTGTATTAACCCACACTTCAGATTGCTAATGAAACAGTTGGAATGTGTGTGAGCCTTTCTACCTACCACTAGGCTTGTAATTCTGTTTAGCATGGGAACCAGCTTTAATGATACTGTGTACAGTGTGTTCCTATTTATAGATTTCTACCAGCTGACTTTCCCTTTTGTCTGCACTGTATGGGCAAAATTATTTATTTTCAGTGTTTTAGATTGTAAGCCCTCACGGGCAGGGCCCTCCTTACCATCTTGTCTTAAATTGTATTGTGACTGTAATGTCTTCCTTATATTGTAAAGCGCTGTGCAAACTATTGGCGCTATATAAATCCTGTATAATAATGTGTCTAAAAGAACTGCCAGTGTTGCTTCACAGCATCCAAGGAATGTAGAAAAGCAGGACTTTTCACCACTGGACAATCCAGGAAACTGGAACTCCCTTGAATGTCAACATCTGCCCAGTCACAGCAATCCCCAGTGTAACAAACATGAAGTAATGTAGAGGGATCAGAACTCCTGCCTAAAGACCCATTAAAGCAGACCTTGCAGTAAAATGCGGCATCCGCTTACACTGCCTGTTGCCCCCTTTACGCATCACCTACTATTAGTAGGTGTGAAGTGTACCTGTAAAAAATTTTTTTTAGTGTTTATAGTTGCCTCTCCCCCATCTTCCACCTGTCGTGCCTAGGCAAGAATTATGTCAGTCTTTTCAAGTAGATTCTAGTCAAAATCTTGTAAGAAGATGCTCTTGCAATGGACTGGAATGTCTTCTTGCAAGATTATGCCTGTTCTGCATTCCTCCTCCCTCCCAGGGATCTTCTTGGAAGGGAGGTGGCAACATGGCCAGCGATGTGGAAAGCAATTCAAAGATAAGTATTTAATTCACCCTTTTTTTTGTGCTAGATTTTATACCTACTAACAGCACAGTGGCGTAGTGGTTAGCACTTCCGCCTTGCAGCGCTGGGGGACCCCGGTTCGCATCCCAGACAGGTCACTATATGCAAGGCGTTTGTTCTCCCTGTACTTGCGTGGGTTTCCTCCGGGTTCTTTGGTTTCCTCCCACACTCCAAAGACATGCTGGAATGTTAACCCCTTCATGACTGAGGCCCTTTTTTCATTTTTTGCACCCATGTTATATTCCACATTTTAGGCCTGAAAATTACTTAAAACGCCCCAACATTATATATTTTCTGAATGCCAAGACCCTATAGAATAAAATGGTGGTAGTTGCAAATTTTTATGTTGCGCAATATTAGCGCAACTCCTTATTAAACCCCAACATTTAGTGAAAAATTTAATGACCCAAAACACAACAAAATACCAATTTTTTAAATGACATATAAAAGATGAGGTTACAACGAGTAAAACGATACCCAACATGCATAGGTTACAAATTGCGTGCGTCCGTGAAACAGCAAAAAACTGCAGTACCCCAAAAAGTCAATAGAAGACGCTTTAAAAGCCCCCACAGGTCATCAATTTAGAGATGCCCTAGAATTATTGCTCTCACTCCGGCATGCGCGGCGATACCCAACATGTGTAGCGCGTTCGTCGTT